GAAAAGATTAAATAGTTTGAATTTTCTTTTTCCACAAGCATTCTCTTTCACGTGGTCGTTTGGGAGAATTATCAAATGGAGAGAAGTTTGGCACACTGATTTACCCTCTTCCTGCCCTACACAATCTGAACCATCCGGAATTGAGCCCTTTCCACATGGACTCTGGGACTTGTTTGTTTCTCTCTCCCTGGACAGATTTGGCTCAAAATGATTTTCGTCCTGGGCGTATATTTGACGCGCTCCCACTGTACTGAATAGGGCGACATTACTCCAGCTTTAATCCGAAACTTCTCTCCTGACGGTGAGTGTTAGCGATCAATTTTGGCGCCAGCAGCTCCCGTAGCGTCGAAGAGCCAGGAGGTTATATAAACGCTGAGCCAAGTTTGATATTCGTTGTTTTATAGGAGGTCAGATCCCTACACCTGAGAACAAGTTTTCAGGCGCATATTATAGTGATTGAGAGGTATTGTTTGGGGTTGTGCCGCCCGTGGCGCCGCTGGCACACAGCAGGTCTTCGGCCCTAGCGGATGTGAAATAGTTCACAAATGCTCAGCAGGTCAAACCTACCCCAGGAGCAAACCAATTTTCCAGCTATTCTGCCACGCAGAAAAAGAAGACGGTCAGAAACTGCTCGTGGTGTCTTCAGGAAGATTGGGCCGTAAAGGGTAACATGTGCCAGGGGTTGTATCAGCTGGTTCAATTGCTGGGAGATAGCTGCGGCGACTTGTGCATTTGATATGGACCTGAGTAGGTCCTTCAAGAAGCAACGAAAATTTTTGTCGGAGAAAGATAGTCAGCGGAGCAGGGTAAAGGAAAATCAGTGAGACCAGTAAGATGGTAGGTAGATGGGGATGGGGAAAGGGAGTGTACCAGAAGGGAAAACTCGAGGACATCTTGTTTTCCGAGTTTTTCCAGCAGCAGGACATGCCCTGGTTCGAGTTGCAGAGGCTTAACAAAAGCGCTGTTATCTCGCAGTCTTCCCTTCACTCTGATTAACACCAAACTAGATATAGTCAGGTAGGTAGCAGGGAGGAGGGATAAATAAACTTTAACCAGAGCCCAGGCAGCTTTGAGCCAATTATTGAAGTTAACACCACCGAATACTCCTAGGCTTGCCTCATTGTTCCCTGTTGTTTACTTTATAAGGGAATGGTGTGGTGGTAAGTACCGGCCACCACGCGTGCGATCCGGGGATCGAATCTCGGATGGGCTCCACCTGAGACAAGAAAGGTTTTCACCCTCTGCGGCTGTAAGTTTGTACAAGACTCGTCCGAGAACTTATGTATGTAGGTGAATCGGTCAGCCATCGTAAACCATTGCATAGGCCATATGACATTCAGTAAGCCGCTACGATTCCGAATGGAAGTAGAATGTGTGCCGTGCCAAAAGGCACTGAAAACTTTATTCTTCTCATCCTTTTCATTTTATAAAATTTCCAAGAATAATATTCTGCCTGAAATGACTAATCCGAACGCTCAATGAGAGACTCACATTCCACAGCCACCTGCTACTGTCTAAAAAATTGGGGCTACACAGAAGGCCCCTTTCTTTTGGCGTTTCAGTGGCTCAGCTTGTGGCTAGATGGCTTCTCTGTATAAAAATGGGAGCGCAATTTCAGCTCCATCGTTAGTCCGCTGCTCCTCGCCGTTGTTCAAGGGGCATCTCCTAGTTGCACATGCTGCCGTTCGGGGAAAACTTAGCACCTAATTTCTTATTTACTTGAAAGGTGGAAAAACCGAAAAAAAATCAACATCGGGGAACATTTTTCTCAAGGGCCAATACTACCATCTACCTCTACCAACCAAATACGATCCCCTGCCGGGGTTCTAGACGTACGACGCAGAGGTGAGTGGCACGTTTTTGATTGGATCCCACTTGCCATTCCGGGGTCGAGGGTTCCTGAACACGGCAAAACAGTATTCGTGTAGTTTAATGGCTTGTTCGGTACAAATGCGAAAAAATTCTTTCTAAATGCGAGTTCCTGACGTTTTAGTGGGCAGATCATCGACCAGGAGAGCGTGAGGCAAAGTCTTGTACAGCTTTGAAATTTAGATCTTTTCTCACGACATTTGCACCAAGACTAGCGGATTTAACGGAAAAGTGCCAAAGTGTGTTCAAGTGACTAGAGAATACTGGTTAGTTTGTATGGATCGCAGCAATGCAGTCCTCCAAGCCACTGAGCCCGCTGATGTCGTTTGGAGGCGCTCAGTTTTGGTTGCTGCCTCATTTATTAAGTGCCTAGATCACCAAATCCTTAGAAACTTGTATACAGGGGTAATTTAACATCCTGATTACGAATAAGGCATTCATTCTTGGCGCTGGCGCTAATGGAGGACACTACGACCATCTTCTAGACTCAGCTTTAGCAGAGCGCAGATAATCGTAGTGTCCTCCATTAGAGCCAGCGCCAAGAATGAACGTCTACTCGTAATCGGGACAATGTGAAACTCCAAAAGTTTATTCCAAAAAAACTCGAAAGACAGCAAAAGTCTCAAAAGTTTAAAAAAATCTTATCTTGCGATATTTCGGTGCGCAGCACCTTCCTCAGGCCCAAATATCCCGGCAAATTGTTTAAGGGGCACCCCTACCTGCATATCTTGCCATTCAAGGAACAAATATAGCAGCTAATTGCCGGATATTTGGAGGACTGGAAGGTGCTACGCACCGAAATATCGCAAGATAAGATATTTTAAAAAACTTTTGAGACTTTTGCTGTCTTTTGAGTTTTTTGGAATAAACTTTTGGAGTTTCACATTGTTATTACACATTCAAGATGAGTAATTGAGAGACTTTTTTTTTCCGGACAGCACCATACTTCCGTAACCGGACGTTAACAGGTACCCCTGTATACCAAGCATTACAGATTTCTACTGATTTGACGTGATCTAGGCATCTCATAAATGAGCCAGCAGCCAAAGCTAAGCGCGTCCAAACGGCATCAGTTCACTGAGCGAAGTAGGTTCTACAAAGACCTGTTGAAAATTAATAATTCATTTATCTCTAAATATCCATATTTGTACATAAAATAACAGGAGAAGTGCCATAAAGATCCGCCAGATGAGATGAGCCACTATGAGTGTAATACGAAACGAAATCTCTGACGAGGTAAACCTGACAACGACAAATAACAACGGTTCAATGCGTACATACAAGGCTACTTAGAATGGGTAACAGATGAAACCCTGCAAAATAAAGGCTGAATTCTGTCAAGAAACTGGGATCCCTACAGTCCTGGTTAAGGTGAGTATCATAATGCAACATTTAGTACAATAATCACACACAGCCCATTTCTCAGCGGACAAGAGGGTGTGTGCGCGGACATTGTTTCGAGCACGGCGCACATGTGTGGAAAGTAGCCTGTCTCTTGCACCGTCTGCGCCCTCTTAGACTGACTTACTATTTATCTGCAATGTGTCTGTCCAGGAGGGTGCAGACTATGCAAGCACTCCGTAGAGACGCCCCCTCTCCACCGCCGAGATATGGACTGCAAATAACCAGGCAGTCATGTAACATGAGATACGACAACGTATTTGCGAATGTTACACGAGATAACTATCAAGGCAGAATGCGAGTATGTACAAGTATAACCCTATTCCCACTATGTACAATATAATGAACATGTATGAGCACATAACTGGGATCCTATTTACCATGCATGTCCCAAGTGAACCCGAACAAGCCAGAACAATGGAAACCAATGGCAGAGACGCAAGGGAACTCTCTCAGCTAGGATCTTCGACCTGTTCTCACTGCTAAGGCTTGTCCGGCGATCTACTGTCTTATTCGCTGCGAATGCTGGGATGTCAGGGAGCCGGACTTGGCGCGATGATAACCCGTTTTCCACCAACTGTGGTCGCAAGGTCCTTTCAAAAATTGGTGGAGAACAGGATGTCGCCGCTCCAACTCCCCCCTCCTAACACACTCCAACACTACTGATTATGCCCGCTAACCAGGAAATACTACATCTTGAGAACCTGGATATGACTACAACAATAAAACTTGCGATAGCAACAACTCTCTACAAAAATACTAGTGGACTACTAGGAAGCGAAGGCAAGAAAATCTGCACATATTCTTCCAAAAACGCATTCCGCACTGGTTACGTGGGCGGAGTCAGACCTACAATTGTGTCCCCTCATTGGCATGCACCATCGAGTCATCATTTAAATAAAGGAGGGGGTACACCGCTGAGGGAGACACACTGGTAGGCCCGACTCCGCCCATGTGACAAACTTGGACAGTGCGTCCAGCGAGAGAGAAAGTTGGAAGTTCACTAAACTACTAAGGGGAAATCTTGAAAGTAAGTTAGAAAACAACAATGATGAGCTAACTATTTAGCTACTTTTTTGAAGGACATCCACACAACAAAGTACTCATCTGTGGTACACTTCCCTGCTTATCCTATTGGTCATTTGCACTGGATCACAATTTCACCCATATTTGCAAATGAGTAGCTGAAAAATGAATAAATCATAGAACAGACAGTCTCCTTCAAATTTTGGAGGGGCAAAAGGAGACGTTTAAAGGACTCCTCGAGTAACATTGCCATAATGGAAATGAGGACTTCCGCCCAAGCCTGAAGAGAGCCAACTCTTCATGTAGGCTTCTGTCATCCCACTTCTCCAGGAGTCCCTCCACGACCGCCCCCCCCCCCTCTACGCGGACTTGTTCCTTAGCGAACTTGTTGCTTTGCAACCGTATAACTTACTAATATCCTTTATTTTTTAGATAGGACTCTACAGCTGTTTTTATCACAGCTCTTCCTCCGCTACTTTTACCGTAACCAGTTATTACATGCAGACGACGGTCAGATCTTCATTTCTTTTTTGATTCTGGGCCTAAAATTAAATAGAAAGGCTGAGTTCGAAGACAGCTGAAAAAGAAGCATAACCGAAATACCCACGCGCTCAACATTGCAGAAGGCGTTCTCTGAGCAATGCGAGCGCCTCTTTTTGACTGAAGTAGATGGAAATCAAGTACACTTGACTGCTCGTGGGCTTTCATGATGATCCTGCTGGCTTCCTCACGTAAGCACTTTTCTCGGAAAGCATGCTCTCGAGCCTTGAATAGAAGGTATTAGGGGCGCTTTTGACTTCGGCGGGGCATTTTGCAGTTCCTTCTTCTAGTTCATATTAAGTGTCAGGTCTCATTCTGGGAAAAACTGCAATGCTTGTGAGCCTAGCGGAATGTTACAACGTGCAACTATGGACTACAAGACGTTTTACAGGCTATTGTCTGGTACAGCCTTGACAGCACATTCGTTGCATTCTAAAAACTGCTTACGTTATGTTTTAAGGCCGTCTGAAAAGAAGGGTTCAACCATGGTTCGGTAGAATTTCATTCAGGAGCGGTACGTACTTGATCGGCGTGGCAAGGGCGTACGTACTTGCCTTTGAGAAGAATTTTTCCGAGCCGCGAGAATATTTTTTCCGATGTTGATTCACGATTTTTTTATGCCCTATATATCACCCCCTCCCCCACTCCGGTTTTTTTTATAAAAACAGTAAAGTTTTTGGGAAACTGGTAGGGAGTAAGGAAAACTTGAAAAGATGATATGTAAGATAGGGAAGGTGTCGTACAAGGTGAGGAGATAGAGGAGGAGGATCTACTTTGTTTGGTTTTTTTTCTGTTTTCTCGCCCAAATATTTCTAGACAAAACAAACAAAACCCTGAGCAACGTCCAAAATTCACTCACCACTTGCTGAAAGGCACCCGCTGCTGATGGCATTCCATTCCGTATATACCTAAAATGGATACATCAGACTACCTGGGTTTGCCAAACGATCACTGCTTTAATACCTTTGCGCCTTCTGGTTCTCTTCTGCTCGTCTTTCAGCGTGAAATTCAGCTTCCTTTCGATACTGGAAGAGCCTGCTCTTGTGCAACTGGGAGAGTGTACTCGGGAGAAGGTCTTCGGCGTGGCGTTGATGTACGAGCTATCTGCAAAAGAACCATTAACTTGTTAACCAAACCTGGGCAAAAAAATCTCAAAGTGAACGGGTTCACCGAAGCAAAACACCTTCTCTTCGAGCAATAATCACAATTCAAATCCTTTATATTACACACACACACAAAATCACGCGTTTTTTACGTTTTATGTTACGTTTTATGCCTTGAAGTTGGTAATTTGACTTCATTCAATTGATAATTACTTGAAGTTTTCAACGTTTTCAGATCCAAACAGACCTTATTATTGGGTGCAACATAAGGTATTTCCATTATTTCCATGTCTGGATTCAGCATGAAATTCAATGTAGAACGAGTTGCTTCTGCATCGTATCTGTAGAATAACAAAATTAAACCAGTGTGGGAGTTAATGAGACATTCCACGATAATGGGATGGGCGGAGACCCGCAACTATACCTTCCCATCAGTGCGCTTATGTGACATCGCGAACGTTTGTGCATGGCCCTTTTGTGAAACCATGTAACGCTGATAGATAGAGTCAGCGGTTGCCAAAGCATCGAAAGGTGCAAAAAACATGTGGCGAGCCAGGAGAAGAATTTTTTCGAAAGGGAGAGAACTCCGGGGTGGGTGAGCCACTTACCAGCGGTTATAGAATGTCGAGACCGAGAGTCGAGAAAAAACGAGAGAGTACAGAGAAAAACAGAAAATCGACGCAATCAAAGGGATCGATTCCAGGTCGCTTGATCTCCTGCGTGTGATATATATAAAAAGGAAGGAACGGTTAGAAAACAATGTTTATTACTTTCCGCCCACACAAGCATCGTGGAATGTGTCTGCAAGGAACTGTTCGGAGGGAAAGTGGACTGACTTGTTGTCCTCGAAAATTCGTTTCACTGATTGATCATCACACGACTTGAACTCCTCTAAGAGCAATGTCAGGCACTGAAAGTTTTCTTGCGCAGACGGTAAGATTTTTCTAAAAAAAAATGATAGTCTATAGACCTATAGTGGCATAATTTTTCACATTTGTAAAATTTACTGATTAGCCACCTCCATTTCCATAAGTAAGATAGTATGTGACAACTGCGCGCTGCGGTCAAAGGATGAAATCTCGGATCGGCTCCCCCCCCATGCCAGCCCAGTCACTCCCGGGCCAGTGAAGGAAATCGCTGTCATCATCGTCTGGCATGATGAAAACGTTGACATCTGACAAAACCTCTCTCCCACTCTCTAAGTCACTGTAAAAACCGAACGCACTGAACATCCTACTAGGGTTGAGCGACTGTGGAACGCGTGGTGCGACCCGAAATGGGCTTGATCAGCTTGATCCTTTTATGTACACCTTTTATAACTACACAAAAATTACTTTGGCAAATGGGTTGCCGACAGTCTCAGGAATCTTCTCGTCTTCTTGAAGGAAGGCAGCCAGTTGAGCGTCATTGTGATGTTGCTCTTGTGCACCATCTGGAAACAGTGTGTTTTCTAAGAAGACGTCATGACAACTTCAGTTATTTTCGGATTGAAAGACGGACTATTTACCCTTCAACTTTCGATCTTTCAAAAATTGCACTCGATTTTTTCAAGAAATCTGTCCCGAGTGGTAGATTTCGCTAGATATTACTCCCGGCAGTAGTTTGATCTGATGATCACGAACACCACAGCTATTTGCCCAAAAAGGGTGTACAGCCTCGTTCGCTGCGGATGATAGAGCGTGCCAAAAGGGTTTGGCACAGCGCCAGCCCGTCTTTCTTCCTTTTTTCTTCCGAAAAGCGATTGTAGTGTGCCACATTCGTATTGGCCATTTACCACCATTTGTTGTCACTTACCTTCCTCAGCTATTGGAGACAGGGTACAGCATGTTGTGTGAAACACATAGGGGGGTCGAACTTTTCACCAGGGGAGGGAGGGGGGTCGTATTCGGTAGTTGTTGGGAGAGGGGGGTCGTATATGTGCCTCAGAGAGAAATTTGCCGTTAGGAAATAATTTCTCCCAGTTGTTGATTTTTCGTGATTTTTCCTGTTTCATGTGTACTATTTAGCAAAAGTAGGCAGATTTTTGGGAAATTCCGGAAAAAGGGGTAGGAAGTTGGGGAAAATCCAGGAAA